CTCCATTAGTGGTCTAACTGCACAATGTTGCCCTGAGGCAACGAATGAGAAAGTACCATTCCTGTGTACAATATAAATAAAATAAATATATTTCATCAAATAAATTTCTGCACATCAGACATTTTTTGTACAAAATTATTTAAATGTAAACATGCTAAAAAGTTACATTTGTATCACCTTCTGATAGCAGTGTGTCCAAGCCAGCTGTGGTCCTACTAAAAGGTGGTTCCAACCTCAGACATGCTCTCCAAACTCAAATTTCTTTGGTCAAAAACTTATGACTTTTAATGTGATTTTTTTGCTTAAAACATTTTTAAGGGATTGTGTGAGAGCCAAATAGTGGTTCATTGCCTGAGGGCAACACCATGCCATAGAGGGTTAATGAACCACAAAACTAGAAGTTTGATGGAAATCTATAAACACAAACATTTCAGACCAACTGTCAAACAGGATGGTGAACCTCTCAGATCCTTATCTTTGCTGCATATTTTTAAACATTCCTTTTAAAAAGGTTCTTACCTTTGTTGTCCAGGTGTTAGCCCCGCCCCTCCTGAAAATAAACACAAAACATAAACATTATTATCCAGAACGTTTGTTTTTTTGTTTTGTTTTTAAGCCACTTCAGTAGAAAACAGAACTGAATATTAGTTTCTTAGTTTTTTTCATCATCAGTGACTTTTTTAAGAAGAAAAAAAAACCCACAAAACAAACATTATTATCCAGAACTTTTGTCAATAAAAATATATTTTTAAAAATGTATTTTAAAGTGGTTCTTACCTTTGTTGTCCAGGTGTTAGCCTCACCCCCTCCTGAAAATAAACACAAAACAAACATTATTATCCAGAACTTTTTTTGATTGTTTTTTAAGCCAATTCAGTAGAAAGCAGAACTGAATATTAGTTTCTTAGTTTCTTCATCATCAGTGACTTTTTAAGAAGAAAAAGAAAATAAACACAAAATATAAACATTATTTTTCCAGAACTTTTGTCAATACAAAAATATTTTTGAAAATTTCTAATAGAAAAAGTTCCTCCTGAAAATAAACACAAAACATAAACATTATTATCCAGAACTTTTGTTTATGTTTTTTGTTGTTTTTTTAAGCCACTTCAGTAGAAAACAGAACTGAATATTGTTTTCTTAGTTTCTTCATGATCAGTGACTTTAAGAAGAAAAATAAATTAAACACAAAATATGAACATTATTATCCAGA